GTGTAAGTTGACATGTACTTGCTAAGTTTCTTATAGTCAGGAAAATGTCTGTTTAGCAGCAGTATCAACAGATTATGTATTAAGCAGACAGTCTACTAATAATCAAATGGACTATAAAAATAAAGTGTTACCAATAATAATAATAATAATAATAATAATAATAATAATAATAATAATAATTATAATAATAATTCCTTACATTTGTATAGCGCTTTTCTGGAAACTCAAATCGCTTTACACATTGGGAGGAATCTCCCCATCCACCACCAGTGTGCAGCATCCACCTAGATGATGCGATGGCACCCATATTGGACCAGACCACACACCAACTGATTGGTGTAGAGGAGACAGAGTAATGAAGCCAATTATGATATAGGAATGGTTAGGAGGCGATGATGAACATGAGGCCAGTGTACAAAGTTGGCCAGGATGCCAGGGTTAAAACCCTACAGTTTTTTTGATGGACATCCTGGAATTTTTAACGACTACAGAGAGTCAGGACCTCGGTTAAACGTTTTATCTAAAAGATGGTGCTCAATGAGCAGTATGGAGTCCCCATCAATATACTGGACCGTTAGGACCCACACAGACCGCAGATTGAGCACCCCTTCCTGTCTCACTAACATCACTTTCAACACATTGTTTTTATAGATTGTAAAACCAACAAGTTTAACAGTTTTCTTTATATTATTCATTTGAATTTGCCTGTGTTTTTTGCTATTCTTTATACTGTAGGACTGTAGAATTTCTCCCTTCACTAAAGTCATTAAGAGTATAGTGGAGTTTTTTGTTGCTGTTTTTTTTTGTTTTTTTTTTAGAAATATCTGTATTAGAAACACAACTTATATATATAAATTTCTAAAAGGATCGGATGTCAGAAGCACATTAATAATCACATGCACATTATTATCATCAGCTCAAGAATGATGTTATTTTAAATATAGACGCGCAACCAGCGATCGCGAGAAAGCGATACCACTGGCACATTAGACGGCCTTGTAAACAACTACGATGCAAAGGGTAAACTCTTGACGGCAACAAAGTTTGTTTAAGCTTGGTTCGACCATGGCTCATTATTATCTGTATATATTATTACAGTGCAATGTGTCTTTAGGCTGTGTTTTTAGAATTGGCAGTTCCTTTGTTTTCATTTTCCTGCTTTTGTATGCTCTGGAGACGTTTCAGCTGCACATCTAGCTCCACCTTTTGGTACCCTTTTGTCATGCTAGGTACCCTTGGCAAAAGGTACCCAAAAAGTGGTACGGTACAGTTTGCTTTTAGGTACCTTTTCACAGTGGAAACAGCCATAAAATCCTACCGAACCATATAGTACAGTACCGTACAATACAGTACCGTACCACTCAGTGGAAACGAGCCATAAGTAAATAAAAAAAATTTATGTGAACATACCCTTTTGAGGAGTAATCATTTGGATCATTACTTGTCCATGAAAAAAGAAATCTGCAAACAAAAATTCACAGCATAGAAGTAAACAAAAGAAGTAAATTTATACAAGGAAGCATCTCTGATTAAATGGGCAACAGTGTCGACTCTTGGTATGGCTTAAACTAATATTTAGAAGCTACAGCTCTGACACTGCAATTCATCTAAGCAGACTCATGTGCGACAAACATCCTAAGGCCTCCTTGCCATACTATACACCACGTCCTGAATAGTTAGTGATTTGGCTACATGACACATACCTCAGGATCCAGTACCCGTCCCGCAACAAAGCTCTTTCTGTTCTGATGGACTCATTTTAATCCATTTAACTCCAAAATCATAGCTGCAACAAGTGGTGCTTTTTTCCAGGCACTGGGCAAAGTCAGGCGAGTGGGTCTCCCATCTGGAAGCTGTTCAGGGCAGCTTTTCATCCAGTTTTCGTCACGGAAGATTAACAAAGATCGTTTCCCCGCTACAAGTTGATTAGGAAAGTTTGATTATCAGTTCAGGCGGTACAGTTACAGGGTGTGGTTCATTAACCATCCGCTTTGACCTTTAAAAGCGCCGATCTGATAAGAGTCTTGTTACTTTAACTTAGATTTATTCACAATTAAAACAATGCATTGGACATATTTAACCCTTCAGGGTTAATATCAAAAGCAGGTGTGATACGACTATGTTGATATTCATCACAACAACTCAAACAAAAGCATGATATTTGAATATGTAAACAATAAATTAATAATGACTTACAGCATGTTACATTTAGATGTAATATTGCAAGTACATATGTCTAGTTTTGTGCTGTTAACAATAATATATATAAAAAATGAAGGCAAAGGCACAGTGGAGTGTTGCACATATCAAAGCAACACACACTATTTATTTAGTGAAATTAACTATTCAAGGATAGCTGATCAAGCATTTTTAAAGAGATAGTATATGTAACAGGGGCCAGCTAGCAAAGTGCTATGCAGGTAAACCTCACTCTTCTCACCTCAAAAAGTGCTCTAGTGACAGACGCTAGAGGCCATGGTCTTTAGCCTCCTTGTTAGAGAAACCAACTCCCATACAAAGAGGGTTGGATGCAGTAGGACCAGTGGGTTACACATGGGGGCTCGTCCGGGATGGGAGTGAGGTTTAAGGGGGTGGTGAGTGTAACAGAGGCCAGCTAGCAAAGTGCTATGCATGTAAACTTCACACCTCTGACCTCTAAAGATGCTCAAGCGACAGTTGCAAGAGACCACTGTCTTTGGCCTCGATGTCAGAGCAAGCGACTCCTATACAAAGAATCGCCGGTTTGATCCCAGCTCAGAGCAAATTGGGTGCAGTAGGACTGGTGGGTTACATGCAGGGGCTCAACCGGGATACGAGAAAGGTTTAAGAAGGTAAGTGTAATAGAGGTCATCTAGCAAAGTGCTATGCAGGTAAACCTCACTCCTTTGACCTCAAAAGGTGCTTTAGCGACAGATGCTAGAAGCCATTGACTTTAGCCTCCTTGATAGAGCAACCGACTCCCATACAAAGAATCACGGTGCAGTAGGATCGGTAGGTTACATGTAGAGGCTCGTCCGGGATGCAAGTGAGGTTTAGGAAGGTGAATGTAACGGAGGCCAGCTAGCAAAGTGCTATGCAGGTAAATCAAACACCTCTGACCTCTAAGTCGCTTAAGCGGCAGATGCTAGAAGCCACTGTCTTTAGCCTCTTTGTTAGAGCAACTGACTCCCATACAAAGAATCACCGGTTCGATCCCAGCTTAGAGCAGGTTGGGTGCAGTAGGACCGGATGGGTAACAAATATAAAAAAGAGAATGCTTACTTACACAAAGGTACAACATAGATGTCACAAAATAAGGAGGACAATTCTGAATGTAAAAGTGAAGACTAGCCGATGTGTAGCCAGTGTATGTTTGAATGGGGTTGGAACTAAACTCTGCAGGACACCGGCCCTCCAAGACCAAGTTTAGGCATGGTTCAGATAGCCTCTTATAATACAGTCACTAGTCACCACCGGCAGTACGGTGGCGCAGTGGGTAGCACAATCACCTCTCAGCAGTTGGCATTTTTGTGTGGAGTTTGCATGTTCTCCTCGTATTCGTGTGGGTTTTCTCCAGGTGCTCTGGCTTCCCCCATAAGTCCAAAGACAAGTACTATAGGTGAATTGGGTAAGCTAAAAATGTCTGTGTGTCTATAGTGTATGTGTGTGAATGAGAGTGTATGAATGTTTTTGCAACTGGAAGGGCATCCGCTGCGTAAAACATTTGCTGGATAAGTTGGCGGTTCATTACTCTATGGTGACCCTAGATTAATAAAGGGATTAAGCCAAAAAAATAAAAATTAACTAGTCGCCACCTACTGGCACAATTTGGAATTATGTTGCTATGAGTTTAAGCCATTATCCAGAAATTGTAACAAAAATTAAATTCACATAGGAAAAAAATAGACAGATCACTGCATTTTGGGGATTATAGTTGTTTTCTATTGTTTACAATAACAAATTTATTACAGTTTAACATTGGGACTTTTATTTACATTATTTAGCCATTTGAAACAATATATTTTATAAGAGATAACATATAGGTGAATAAAATACCATTAACTTATTTTACATGACTTACCCAGACAATACGTTATTTCAGACTGTAATGTAAATGTAAAATGTAAATAAATGTTCGATTGTTAAACTTTGAAAATCAAATTTGACAGCACAGAAAGATGCCTTCATGCAATTCAAAACAAGTAAAATAGACAGAATTTTAGGTTTTAGGCTTTTTAAAACAGAATTACTTTTTATATATTTATTTTTAGCATTTATTTTATTTTAAATGCAAAACTTCTAAATGCATTGTTATTTCTGTTGTATGTGTGTATTATAGATGCTGAGCATACAGGCTGAAGGAGCAAGCAAACATCAATCTCAGTACCAAAAGGCCCAATTTATGTTTTCAAACAGGTTGCTTATTTACACCTTACATTCCATCGTTCAGAAAAACAAGTAGCCCGACAAAACCCACTGGCCCACTGTTACTAATGTCCCGCAGGATGAAAAGGTCAAACAAACAGAGCAATGTTTTGATAGCGCCACAGTGTTTACAGCTTTCAGGGAAATCAACTACGCCTTTAAATCTTAGGTGAGGTTATTTTCAGCCCATACTGAAACCATTATAATTCCATGTAAGCGCTCAAAAACAAGCCGATAGTGTTAACTACACTTGTAAATATTTGGCAAACCCTAAACACTGTAGACCAGAATGTTTGTTTGTACTGTGGGCTGAGTGCAGCAGAAAGACGCTGCATTTCAAGCCATAATAAGGATATCACTCTGTCATTAAGCATATTGAGCAGATCAAAACAATGCCTGATATCACAAGAGAGGCATAATTAATACAGTAATAATAAGGAACATAGATTTACATCAACGCTATCATAACTTGCTTTGTTTCTGAAGGTCAACACTCTTGTTTTTACTGTGGCTCAATCTGCCTCATGTTGTGTACGTTTAACCTGCTAATGCTCAAGTCAAGCAACATTTGACCAAATATGGTTGTTGTGCCTTACTTGCTCTGTCTCGTCTTCGTACTCTTTCCAGGCTGTCTCGGGACATGTCCTCCCAGTTCAGTCCCTCTGTGTCCCATGGAGGCCGCTGGCTTGTCTTCCGCTCCTGTTTCACACTCAGGTGCTCAATACTGTCTGAATTCTAAGATCAATGAATAACAGTAACAATTACTTTAAATTACCGACAAACTTTCTTGAAATTTTCTTTGAAATTATTAAAAATATATATAATTATTGGATGTTTGATGCTTATATGGTATACACTACCTGACAAAAGTCTTGTCGCCTATCCAAGTTTTAGGAACAACAAAAAATAACTTGACTCTAGTTGATCATTTGATATCAGAAGAGGCTTATATGAAAGGCAAATGCCTCTAGATTACGTTTATTCTATCAATGAAATATGATCATGCATTGATTTTTATTAGGACAGAAAGGTCTGACATTGCTGAAACCAAAGTCTTGTCACTTAAAAGAAATAATGTACAGAATAGAATATAAAGTGGTGGAGGAAAAATTATTCATACTGTGTATGACTCCCACAAGCTTGGAGGACTGCATCTATACATCTCTGCAATGACTCAAATAATTTATTAAAAAAGTCATCTGAAATGGCAAAGAAAGTGTTCTTGCAGGACTCCCAGAGCTCATCAAGATTCGTTGGATTCATCTTCAATGCCTCCTTCTTCATCTTACCCCAGACATGCACAATAATGTTCATGTCTGGAAACTGGACTGGCAAAACCTGGAGCACCTTGACCTTATTTGCTCTCAGGAACTTTGATGTGGAGGCTGAAGTGTAAGAAGAAGTGCTATCCAGCTCAACAATTGCCCTCTCCTGTGGTTTGTAATGTAATGGGCAGCACAAAATGTCTTGATACTTCAGGCTGTTGACGTTGCCATCCTCTACAGATCTCTTACATGCCCCCATACTGAATGTAACTCCACACCAGGATTTTTTTTCTTCACCAAACGACAATTTCCGTGACAATCTTGGGTCCATGTAGGTTCCAGTAGGTCTTCTGTAGCATTTAGTATGATTGGGATGCAGTTCAACAGATGATTCTGCCCCTTTTTTAAATGATCTACTAAAAGTCAAGTTATTATTTTTTGCTTTTACAACTGGAATCGACGACAAGACTTTTGTCAGGTAGCGTATTTTATGATTATGAAACAAAAAAGCATTTTGATCAATAAAATGCATCTTTGCCAAATAAAAGTGTTAACTTATTGTCTTTCAACCTATTTTAAAATTATTAAGATCATGTGGTGCTGATGACTGAATTAATAGCTGGTTAAAATACAGAAAATTAAAAACAAATATAAATGCATTATTTCATAAAATTTACTTTGATCAATTAAATACAGATTTGGGGTGCAAAAAACACCTCTTTAATCCCATTTATATATTTAAATAGATATACATTTCAAGTAAATAATAATGTGTGTATTGCATCCTTGTAATATATAATGCATCCTTGTAATATACAGTTGAAGTCAGAATTATTAGCCCCCCCCACCCCCCCCACCCCCCCCCCTGAATTATTAACCTCCCTGTTTATTTTTCCCCTAATATCTGTTTAAAAGTTAACACATTTCTAAACATAATAGCAATAATAATTTATTTCTACTGATTTATTTTATCTTTGCCATGATGGCGTTTAATATGTTACTAGATATTTTACAAGACACTTCTTTACAGCTTAAAGTGACATTTAAAGGCATAACTAGGTTAATTAGGTTAACTAGGCAGGTTAGGGTAATTAGCCAAGTTATTGTATAACGATGGTTTATTCTGTAGACAGTTGGAAAAAAATTAGCTTATAGGGGCTAGTAACTTTGACCTTAAAAATGTTTTTAAAAAAAATAAAAACTGCTTTTATTCTAGCCAAAATAAAACAAATAAGACTTTCTAAAGAAGAAAAAAATATTATCAGACACACTGTGAAAATGTCCTTGCTCTGTTAAAAATCATTTGGGAAATATTTAAAAAAGAAAGAAAAAAAAAACAAAGGGGGGCTAATAATTCTGACTTCAACAGTTTATATACTGTAATGCATCCTCGATAAATAAAAGTATTACACTCTTTCAAAAGAAATTTCACTGCCCCAAACTTTCAAATGTTTTACACAAAAATATCAAATGTACAATAACCCCATGACCACATTTTTGCTGCTTCCTAGTTTAATTGATTGTGAATTTGGTATGTAGTCAGTACTGTTCTCTTTGTTGTAACTAGCTTGTCTGTTTTTTAGACAGATATATTTGGGAAACATAAAGACTGACTGTAACTATTAGGGCACAATATATTGTTTCAGTATCGATATCGCAATGAGAGTGTTCGCCTCATCGCAGGATATGCAACATTAAATTGGGATAATAGTCGATCAACAATTGAGCATACATGACATTTGTGGAGTCATTGCGAAGTATAACCATAACAGAGTAAACTTATCACTTGCATGTGTTTTAAAGACATTTCGGGCACAATTACCTAAAACATTTGCAACTTCAACTGATTAATTAATACAATGAAGACTTTACAGTGTTATTTTACATTACTAAATTTCTGTATCTGAATACTCTCTAGAAAAACCATAAAGAACTATTTACTTTTTTCTTTGTTTGTTATTACTCTTGGAATTTTGTTTTTATACATGATTCACACACTTACAAAATCATCCCAATAAAAAATTAAAATTAAATGAATGATTTTTCACAAAAAGAGCTAATCAAGCCATCTGGCAAAGTATTTCAATAATGAGTTTTCCAGCCCTAATAACTACCTAATGTAAATTATATCTTAGTGATTATCAAATAGATTTTTGAAACTATACATTTTAATGTAGAGTATGTCTTTTTTACTTTTATGTTCTTAGCAGATGGTTTCCTACCAACCAGTCCTAACATTCCTCACGCAAATGTTTTCCTTCTCAGACTTTATTTTGGCAAGGGCAGTGGAATTGAAAACGTTAAAGAGTATTATTTTAAACTCTTAGCATTGTTTCTCTTGTACTCTATAAACTGTGTGAAATGTTATTGATTTGTGTGTACATATATTGTTTTTATATATAAAATATTTTATAAAGAACATTGTTTGTTGTCTTACTATTCACTAACAGGTTTATCAGAGTGGTTTTGGGGGAAAAGGTCTATAGAAAAACCTTTTGTTAAAAACTTTTTTCTGATCGCATTAATAAATAGCAATCATCCAGTTAAACATTCAGCTTGACAGCTGCTTTGGGAAGACGACATGTGCATGTTTGTTTATGAGGAAATGTCTTAATCAGCGCTTGTTTCCTGCGCCTGCAAGTGCTCTAAATTCCTTTAAAACACCCAGGAGAGCGTCTTTTATGTGTCACTGCAAGCCATCACGGCGTTCTTGCGTATAGTTTTCCTCTGAAATGTTTCTTTGAATGACTTCACTGTTTATCCCTCAGTTCTTTTCCTATCTCTGATGTGTTCTTCACTTGATAGACGTCATTGTTATGACATGATATGGATGTTCACAAACAAAGGGTCATTTAATCTTGTTTTTTTTTTAAAGCTCCACACACACACACACAAGAAAGACGCATTTCATAGTTTAAGCTGAATTATTCATTTGACGTTTCTTATCCTCAAATTTACAAATACGGCAATTAGTTCCTGCTGTAAAGTGGCATTCATTTGCAGAACTGAAGCTTGTTAGATTGGATGACTGACAATAAGCTTATCCTACTGTCTGTCATGGATTTGTTTGCTTCTCTTTTTCAGACTTCAATGACTGTTAATATTTATCAACACTGAAAAAAAATCAACTGCTGATTTGTGCTTTACGATTATGGCTAAACTAGCAACTGTTTGGCATTATAAGGTAATAAGTTCCACATTAAACAAAGCAATATCTTGTAGCACAAAAAAACAAAAAAAATGGCAGACACAAATCTGTTGTTGTGGAACACATATGTTGCATAAATATTCTAATACAAAGGTGAAAGGCCACAGACGTCACTCACCCACTTCTGATTGGGTATCGCCAGAGATGTCAGCATATCCGCCATAGCACCCAAAATCTCATCAGTTCGCCCCTGGTTCTTTGGAAGAGACTTCATATTCCAGCAGCTGTGGCTCTCCTTGTGGATATTCCCCACCTTCTTCCAAAAAGAAACTCTATTTCTCAAGGTTTGTCGTGTCGGAGCTTTGATCTTCAGCGTAGCTCCAATGTTGTATGATTCTCCAGAATGCTCTTGCTGATAAATAATGAATTATGGAGGAGAACGGTTCGTTTGTGTCTAGTTTAAATTGGACAAGAGAGTGCCGTTGTCTAAACTAAAGCGTCTTCTTTGGCTCCTGTCCTTCTCACAGGTGGGAAGGTCTCGCTGTGGGTCAGTCAGGCCTCTCTCTCGCCCTCCCCCTAAAACCGGGGCTGTTCCTGAGAGAAGGTTAGCTGCACCCGAGTAATCAGTTAAGATAGCGTTCTGTTCTTTCCTTCCCTTTGAGAAAAATCGCTTGTTTTTGAGTGCTCTTTGGCATTTGGGACCTTTTGTGAAAAGAACCGCTCTAACCGCTCATGAGTCAGCCTTTTCTGTCTTGTCATTGGCTGTGTTCTTCTACCACCCCTTCAGCCGTCTCCTCTCCACCCTCTCTACATCACTTTCTTCTATTGTAGCTCCCTTGCACAACAACACACTGATTCTCAGAACAATCCTAAAGTTTCTGTCATCCTCCTCCTTCCAATCTCGTACTTTCACCATCATTTGCTCTAGTTGTTTCCTCTCCAGGCCGACTGGATGACACATGGCTTTTGGCATGGTGCAAGCATAAAAAGCAGCAAATACCCCAAATAAGGCAGCTGTGCTGGACCCAGAGCGCCGACACAGAAGCTGTCAGATATAATTCATAACGGCTGCCCACTTTAAAACTTACAACAAAAGCATGAGGAGGAGGAGGAGGAGGAGGTTGTAGGGTCTTGCAGAGAATTTTGAATGTGTATCTAATTAAGCGTTCCTCAACTTTGTTTGTCCTTTGTACAGTAAGTTTCAGTACATTTTTTTTTTTAAGAAAAGAATGCACTAAACTTGGGTAAACAGTTCATCATGGAATCGTGAGAAAATATCATATGAAAGAATTTTGGATGTGTATCTAATAAATTGTTTTCCAATTTAAAGATATGAATACTTTCATTCAGTAAGAATCCACTATTTTGTTTAAATATTATATTATATTATATTATATTATATTATATTATATTATATTATATTATATTATATTATCCTTCATATGTATTGTGTTATGGTAGTGGGAACTTTAAAACCTTTAGCAGTGTTGTTATAGTTATAGGCTAGTTCTTTCTTAGTGTAAACGTGCCTTTATGTTAAAAAAAATTTTAAAATACAAAGTAGTTTTAGATTTTAGCAATTATTTAAATTCTTTATAATCCACCTGTATTTAAATATAACAAATTTTACATTGATAGTTTTAATTACCGACAGGCAGAGAATTTTAAAGAGACAGCTCATTTACAAATGAACATTATAGGTTTATTTGCTCACCCCAGCTCATCATGGATAGGTATCTTCTTTTTTCAGAAAAACAGATTTTAGCTGATACTGTGCTTCTTGAAGATTTATAAAATGCATGTTTTCACCCAAAAGCACTTTGAGACTCTAAAAAATAACCATACACAACAAAATTAATACTAGTAGCTCCTAATGACACACCGAAGTCTTATGAAACAACTGGTCTGTGCTAGAAATTGAATTTTATTTACAACATGTTTTCTTGTAATTCACAGCCTCTGCAAACAGTCCTGAGCTTTTTAATGACAATCTGAAGTATGGTGCAAAGTGAAGTTTCACAAACTAATTACGAGAGGAGCTCGTGATTTGATTGACTGCAGCTGGTCACCCATCTACAATCATTAGTCAGCCAATCAGAATAATCCAACTCACTATAAGTAGCCTAGCTAGAACTAATCCCTTACATTCGTTTTCTGAAGAAACCCCCCATTCACCCCTTCTCCTCCTTTCCTCCTTTACCACGGGGAGTTCTTGAAAACCACCTGATCTCGTACTCCCCTTACATGCTCTATTGACCAGGCAGGAGCCCTGGGCTCAACTATCTCCGAGCTCAGGGTTCTCTCCTGGGACAGCATGCCAAACCTGCTAACATTTGTCAAACAATATGTAAGTGTGAACTCTTAAACTGATACTGTATAAAAGCACTTTACCTATCCATAGGACAAATTTAAATAGGCTACTAAAATTTTAAGTACAATACACTGGTGTTGGAATATTTATCAATTCCAGGCGTGTTCAGGAAAAAAGGTCGAAAGATATGTTTTCTTCAATGTTAAACATATTATTAATTTATAGGATACAAATAAATATTTCGATTAACAGAATTCTGGTATACTCAATGCAATAGAAGGAGGTGTGCAACAAATTTAATTTCCTGATTTGAGCTTTTATCCATAGCTGATATTAACAGGTGGAGTTTTAGTGGAATTTGTCACTTGTCAATCATTATCCAGATCTCCATTGGTCGCACCCATTCATACATCCTCTTTTTCTACTAATTCTCTCCACAACGCCAAAAGCACAAGACTTCTCAACTGCAAATTCTGTTCATTTTTAACCCATCTCTGCTCTGCTCACAAAAAGTTTTGCTGCAGAGCTCAAGTTAATTTTAGACAATCAGGAATTTGCATTTCTATCAGCTTCATCTACTTCTCCAAAAATGCTCATTAATAGGCAAAGCATACCACACTCAACATAAGAAGTTCAGGTAATATATCGCCTTTAAGCAAGACAAATACAATTGTTTAATGAAAAGAAAGATACTAAAATAATAAAAAATATATTCCTTTTTTCCACAATACTGAGAAACCAAACGTTTGGAACAAAACAACCTATTAAACCAGGTAACATTGTGCTAAAAGCTTGCGTGCAATCACAAATCGTATTGGCCTACCATAAACTAGACAAAAAGTTCTTTTGTTGAATCTTTTGTTTCCATGCCCGCAACCTGTGCGAGTTTCATGCTTATTTTAGCCTCGATATTTTCCAGGTTGAATGAATGACCGTGTCATGATACACATACTTGGGTGGCCCATATGCATGCCTTTCTGAACAGAATAGACATACACATTCCTGAGCCTGCAGCTCATTCCCTCTTCACCTGGCCTGGAGTCAAGACACACGTTTATACAATTACAAATGTTAGTCTATTCTCTCCCCCCTCTCTCTCTTTGAATGCAGCCCAAACCACACACAAATTTGGGTCGGATTTTCCTCGAGACGGATTCCTCCGTGATGGTGTATGTTCATGGACACTGAGAGTGAAAGAAGAGGAGGACGGCGGAAAGCAGAATGTGATCCGCCTGAGCTCCTCCGAGCTGGAGCCGAGCCGTGTAAAGATGTGCTGTGGAAACACTGCCAAGAGTCTAATAATAACTCTGCACATGGCCGTCTTTAGCGCTGTTTTGTGACTAAACTTAGAGCTCAGCAGCCCGTTGTCCTGCAAACACACTTCATACATGCAAACATACACACAAACATATCATATGCTCCTACTGAATGACCAAATCTGACTAGCTAGTGCTGGTCCCTTTATATCACATCTTTAAAAAGTTTCCAACAACATATAATTAGAGGGAAACTTTGAACACAATAATGAAAGTAGGCTATAATTATGCTAATTACACATAATTCACATTACTGTAGGGATAGCCCACAATATGTGTACGCATGTAAGCACTTTTGATGGGGTTGTATGCTCATAAATGATGATTATTATTAATTATAGTTGACTCTACAAAGACTATGCCACTACATGTTACACTATACACGAAGAGCACCTGAATTAAGCAGTGAAAATGCTGAGGTCGATGCAGTGTTGGTACACTGAGTACCCTGAGAACTCTAGCCTAAGTAAACAACGTCCTATCCAGTAACGGATGCGATAATGATGCTGTTTGCTTCCCTCTGCTGGCCAAATGAGAAATTGACACTTAAGAGTGAGCTGGCAGGCACTGTGTTTTATAACTTGTGTGGTATTTATATTAACAGACACATTTTATCCAACACATATCAGGTTCCTTTTCTATTAAATCTCTCTCTCCTGTTGTGGAGAGAGTCCGTGCAAAAGGGGCCTTCTTGAATGATCTCTAAGGCCAGCTGAGCTTCCTCTTTCTCCTGCTCATTTCCTGAGTCTTTGCACTGTAATAACTCTTCTGCTTCAGGTCAACAGTCTGAGAAAATAACTGTGGCCGCACATCACCTTTCCTCCTGCTTGCTAAAATCCAAGTCATCCAGTCAACCTGATCTGATCCCGCTATAAAACTACCAAAAGGTTTGGCTGGCTTTGCTTTCCACTGAACGAATAATAGGCTATACACAATCTGAGGCTATCAATAATGCACGTGGACTCTAGTTTGTCTTAAAGTCAATTAAGTGGTCATTGCAGATTGAAAGCACAGAGGATGTGTAATCTTGCACTGATTTGTTGCAAGATTGTGTGCGTGTGTGTGTGTGTGTGTGTGTGTGCGTGTGCGCGTGTGTGTGATTTTAGTGATACTAGTCTTGATTAGAAAAGCATATGCAAGACTGCAAATAGTTTTACTGATCTTTCCATAATACACTGCCTACTAAATACATCTTTAACAAAAAGCTTCCATCTGGAATACACCATTGGAGCCACTCGTGTTTGTTTTGTTCAGTTGTTTCATTCCAAGGCCCTGACGAAATAGGCCAAGATATATCTTGTGGCTAACCAACAAATGTGTCAACACACTTTGCTTGATATACACTTAATCGAATTTGAAATCTTTGTACTAGGTCTGTTTGTTAATGTGGTTGTTGGCAATTGCATGATATCATGCATAAGTGCAATTTGATGAACTTTCAGAGAAATAAATAGAAAGAGCTCATTCACTTAACATTTTGTATTTCTATCATATTCATGCCAGCAGAACAAGTTCTCACGCAACATTCCTGTGGATTCATGGTGAATTTATAATGCGTGTTTCAGTTGGTTCTTAATTTATGTATAAAGAATTGTCATGATTACTGTAAACACATTTGGATTTACATTTTATATATACAATTCAGTCTATTATATATACAGTTCTGTCTACTTCTCAAATCTGATTGGCTGATAGCCATGCATTCTGCAATATCAATGCTCATACAGCCTCTTCATCCTTTAGTATCACTCCGCCCACATAGAGTGCCAAGCAGAGGAATAAACTCACTTATATTTGACAAATATTGCAGCTGTTGGACAACATAATGTACTTTTGAGGTTTTTTTAGGCGAGAATAGTTGTTTAGATTGCAACTATATGAAGTTTATACATATATAAGGTATATATATATTTCCCAGAGATGGGTTGCGGCTGGAAGGGCATCCGCTGCGTAAAAACTTGCTGGATAAGTTGGCGGTTCATTCCGCTGTGGCGACCCTGGTTTATAAAGGGACTAAGCCGACAAGAAAATGAATAAATATATATATATATATATATATATATATATATATATATATATATATATATATATAGTCAATAGTGACCAATCATTCTGGAATTGAACTCCTCCTTTTTTGACTTCTGGCCCTGATCACCTTAAATAACATTGAAACAGTGCATATTTTAATGTTCACAAACTGCCCACATCAATCCATTGTTAACAGGCCTGTAGCCAGCCTGGTAAAAGAGGTGTTTTTTTTTCCTAAAATATGGAACTTTTTGCAGTTATTATACTCATTTTCTATTTAATTATGAGGTTCAAAAACTTTTTAAGCACTATTTTTGTTTTGCTGGATTAGCTTCTCAGATGGCCATTAACCACACTTTTTGATGTACCAAAAACATTTCCTAAAGACTTGGAAGAAAACGATATGAGAATAATACTTCTTTTTCAAATACAAATTTATTACATCATATATCATTAGAACAAAAAGGATGCTGTTGAAGTTTTAAACTAAAAACCTGCCTATTGTCATTAGGTAAAAACAAACTGACCAGCACATTCAACTTTCATGCAACAGCAACTTTTAAAGCAACAGCGAAAAGAGGATTCCGCTTGGTCCCAAAGCTTTCCTCAACGGTTATTTTCACAATTTATTACGGCATAGCAGTCAAAATGGGACAAATGTGCTTGTGTATGGGACATATTCTGGACCTTTGTCAGTGAGGGGTGAGTCTTTCGAACCACCGAACCCCCCTGGCAATGGGCCTGGTTAATGTTGTGTCTTACCAGAATTTTGCTATACTAAAGACAAACTTAATTTTGGGTAATCAGCATTATCTATTAAATAAGATTCATCCAACCTGAAATATTCCTTTAATATGGTTTAAGGTTGATAGAGAAATGATTTTTTTTTAATGTAATGCACACTCATTTTAAAGAATCTGCTCCAACAGAAGCAACTTGAATGAAATTATCCTGTAATTATAGCTCCTATTCAACTCCCAAGCAGTCATCACTAATTAGACAACTTGACCTGCATAAAAATGAATCCATTTTCATTACGTTAGGTACACATCCATACAGCCTACAATAACAGGTGTCTTCACCTCTCTGAAGTAAAAAAAACAATTATAGGACTGGAGCAGATTAATCACAGTTGGATAGATTAGTTTCAGCCCCTGTGATTCTTCACGTGACTGCTAGAAGATGAGCAGTGTTTGGCTGTAAGAGGTGTGGCACGAGGGGCTACCTGGACTTGACTGATACGCTTAAGCATGTTTTAATTAGCTAAACTCAGCCCTATTCTAAGCCACAACTATTTCAGGTCACATAAGACATGAGCGTTCTGAAGGCATTCCAGGTGCAAACGGACATGAAGCAATCCAATTTCAACTCCATGAAAAACAATCAGCAGTAGTCAGATGATTATAAAAACAACAGACTTCATAATACACTTTACTCTGTAAGGTCCACTGTTATATTTAAATTGTAATATTGTAGTACTTGCTTAAATTAAATGTTTGTAATAAATTTGTAATACATTCAGGGGTGCAAAATGCTTTTGAGTAAATGTAATTGTTTTCTGTACTTAAGTATTATCTTTAGGTGTTTGTACTTTACTCAATTACAATTAAACATGTTTAAAAAAAAAAAAAAAAAACTCTAAAAGAAAGGTTATCAGACCATTTTGGCCATAAAAACTCAGTTGAAAGTCACATTGGTTAAAAGTGTCTGCTGATTAACTAAATGTGTTTTTTTTTTCCATAGCTGGAAAATAGCTTTAGCTATCTATTAAGTGTATTGATTTGATTGATTCAGTAAACATTTTACAGTCAAATATACAATTAATATGTGTTTGCTTACACTTTTTAACAAAAAAATTGGGCTAAATTTGTTGTAAATTAGGCTACTTTTAAATTTTGCATACATTAATTTGTCACTTGTTTTGTAATGTACAAACCTCACTTTTAACAAACCATTAACTATGACATTCTTCTTAATAAACTTCTAATTTGCTGCTTATTAATAGTTATTATGGTAGTAATAAGGTTTAGGAATTGAGTAGTATTAGGGATGTAGAATGATCATGAAAGATCATGCAGAATATATACTTTACAAATACTAATACACCACCAAAATTAAGCCTTATAGTGAGCATAGGTCTGAAGTGTACCCATAATTTTAGGCCTGTAGCCAGCCTGTTGAAAGGGATGGTTCTTTTTTCTGAAAAAGTGGATCTTTTTTGGAGGTATTCGCCTTATTTTCCATTCAATTATACATTTTTGTGATCTTTTCAGCACAAACTTTTGCTGGATCATCTTGTCTGTTGGTGATCATAACCACACTTTTGGTGTACCTAAAATATTTCCTACAATTTTGTCAAAGTGCAAAGATGCTGTTTTACTATGAAGTATTTATTTACAAATTTGTTTATTTGAGTTTAGCTTTTAAAAAACTGAATAAAGAAATGTGAAAATACTTTTATTTTATTTTAAATTTATTATCAACCTTCATTAAAATATTATAAAATATAAAATTTTAGAATAACAAAAAATAAGAATCTGATAAAACTTGTTTTAAAATAAAAAATGTATAGGCAAATAACAAACTGGTCAGCTCATTCAACTTTCCTCAGTCAGAATTTGGCCACTTGAATAATTAAAAGTTAAATTTGTATTAAATCCTTCTTCTACACTGTAAAACCCAAAAAAATAAGGTAACATAAACCATTTGAGGAAACCGATTGCAACAAAACTTTTAAGTTCAAAAACTAAACATAATGAGTACTGTGAACTTAATTCATTTGAGTAAATGAAGCCATTCGAGCACAGTAAAATCCAATAAATAAAGAGAAATCAAACCAACTGAGAAAACCGATTGCTACAAACCATTTGAGTTTATAAAAAAACTAATCTATATGAGTACTTACTCCATTTAAGTTGAAGTAATGAGGTGTTTGATTAACTCTTTCAACACTGAGTTCAAAACTCTTTTCAAATCAGTAGAATTAACTTTCAGTAAATTTTGAGTCAACTACACTCATTTCATTTGATAAAGTTGACTGTTGGGTTTTACAGTGTGATAATTTTCACAATTTATGATGGCATTCTAGACAAAATTGGACAAATTAGCTAAAATAGGGTTCAGATTCTGGACTTTGTTAATAGGGGGTGGGTCTTTCGAACCACCCAAACACCCCCTGGCTATAAGCCTGAATTTAAAAGTTCTACTTTTTTACTTTTATTTAAGTATATTTTCAGCAAGACACTTATAGTTTTGAGTAAATTTCCACTAAACATCTGTACTTTCACTTTTTTAGCATTTTTAATTCTATCTATAGCCCCGAATATACTGCAAAATGTTGATACTCTCACTAAAAAGAGTCAAACAGGACAGAAACATGCCAATTCAGAGCTGTGAAAATGAACCTGTGACAATCTCAGCAACTCCTGGCAGCTGCCATTTCTGAATGTTAATCCACAAATCTCCTGTAATCAGGATGAGTGGACATGCCTCTCTTAACAGAGCACCTGTGTCAAGATTTGGAAGGATTCCTTAGTGATGGGAGGCCTAAGTGTCCGAATAGCACTGGGGAGGAGGGGACAGGCTGGGACACAGCTCTGTCCTGCGGGATCAGACAGTCTACTGTGCGAATCCATACTGGGAGGACTTACACTGACACAGCAGAGCAATGATCTGAGGGACGGGGACAACATTACGCCTCCTTCTCAGCACCGTTTATGGTGAGATACAATGGATGTGCTTGTTGATTTGGTGCATATGGATTTTAGCAGGGTTGGGGAAACAGGTATTATTGCTGAAAGGCCACATAAAGTGGAAGAACAGAGAGGAACTGTGTGTGTAGAAACAAGTTGACAGCTTAGGATTTATTTTTGTGCTTGTGCTTCAAATGATAGTTCATTATTTATGCTGCATGAGTAGATTTTAGGACAGGTAATGTGAAATAATTTTACCAGCTTTTCTGATTTTTTTTTATTTTGTTTTTTATTATTTTAAACATAGCTATATGTAAAAAAAAATTCTGTTAGATTAAACTGTGTTTAGCCTTTTGAAGGCATTTTAGGCATGTTTTTTTACTTTTTATTGTTAAATTTATTTGTTTGTTTAGTTTTAAAGCAATATAAAAAACTATGATGTGCAATACTGAAATCTTATGCCTGAAAAATAAAAAAATATTTATATTATATAATTTACATGACATTATTATATTTACATGACATAATTTACATTATTTAAATTTAATTGAGGTATTTATTGCCATAACTTGATCACATTTAACCAATTAAAAGAATTTTAAGGATATATTTTTGCTTTATTTTAATTATTTATTTGTAGTTCATTATAAAATGTCGTTCACTTTATAATTAAAAAAATATTGATATTATAAAATTGCTACAGACTGTATCCAGGTAGTATAATGCTGAATAAGCATTAAAAAAAAGTTGAACATCGTTTAAAATACTTAAGCATTTGCATATGCACAATTGCACTTTATGCATTTGTGCATACATAGCATATATCCAGCATAAGCAAACTGATGGAAACAATGCCGGAATTATAATAATTATAATAATCAGTGATCACAAATGCTGTTATAAAACATTTTATTAATTGCAAGACCATTGGGAAGACTTTATTTCTACGTATTAAATATAGTTGGAAAATCTAAAACAGTTGAACCTAAAGCATCTAAAAACATACAGTTTCCCTTAAACAAATACACATGACTGTTATTGCATGGTGCAGTATTATGTTTGAGCTGACAATAAGTCAGTGTAAAAAAGTGGTCTGGAGAGCTAAACCAGCATGTGGACAGTGTTTTGGTTCTCAGAGAACAGACTGTTTATGTGGCACTAACAGGGAATGTTTTCCCATCCTCACTACCCCCTTCTGTCTCTTCCCCTCTCTCTCACACACACACAAACACACACTGTCTCTATGTCAGTCTGCACTAGCCACTGTGCCACCAGTAACAGTGGCTAAATATAGCTGCTGGGAAAGCACCATGAGAGCAAATACATCCTTTTTTTAAGTTTCAAACTATGGGATATTTTCATGCACAGGCAGATTTATGTCTCAATTTTTGCATTACATTTTTCCCGATTCCCAATGCTGCAAGTGTCGTCTATTTATAAAGGAAAATGTGAGAAAGGAGCCATTTAAGCTGCTATTATCAGAGACTTACTAGAGTAACCTGAGGTTAAGTGGTTTGTTTAATGGCTCGCTCCTGGGGGTTTAAAAGAGGGAAGTGGAAATGGACTTAATGATGATTTTGATTAGTCAAGAGTCAGGCCTTCGCTGACACATAAGCAGACACATGAATCACCAGGTTAACGTCTGACTAAAGGATTCTGTTTTCCTGTGCACTTAAAGGTATAGTTCAGCCAGAAATGACATGTACTCATTATTTACTTGCCCTTCACTTGTCACAAACATGTTTTAGAATCTTTGTTCTGTTGAACAAAGTTGAAGATATTTGAACAATGTTAACCTGTAAACATTGAAAAACAAATACTATGAAAGTCGATGGTTACAGGTTTGCAACATTTTTCAAAATAACTATTTTGTGTTCAACAGAAGAAACTTGTTTATGACAAGTGGCGTGCGAGTAAATGATGACTGAATGTTCATTTTTGGGTAAAGCATCCCTTTAAGCATTAAAACCCCCACTCGTAGAAACTGAAGACAGAATATTAGTGTGCTATGCTTGAAATGGTTCCTTGTTTCTCATTATGTTTGGTTATGTGTACGCTTGACCTTGCTATCAACATTCTTTTGAATATTTTCAGAAAGACTGAACAAAAGTTCATAGGTGCCTTCTCATTCACATTCATCATGTTTGTTAGTTAAACTTTGTGCTTCGCAAGTTCTGCCCTCAGTCAAAATATATAATAGTAACTCTGTTCTCGTCTTATTCTACACCTGTAAATAGCCTCATCCCAGATATAGCTATTATGAAGCTTTTCAGAGACATTGAATATGTTGAGTGATATTGGTCTGATTATGGGCTGTCAATAACACAAATGTTTACCTCAGGTGAGGCTCTTCATTCTTTCTGGGTGTAATCTGCTGCTCTTCCACCTGTTGAGTACAATTGATTAATTGTTAGAAGTGGATACAAACATACAATACAACTACACCATGAATGAAGGAATGAAGAAATCCTTATTTAACTGTAAAATATATTAACATCTACAAAAGCCATCATATTATGGAAGACCATATTGGCCAAAATCAATAGATGAAGCATTAAATATGATTTTTGACACATACAGTTTGACTATTTTGAGGCAGCAGTATTAATATATCATATATTTATATACATGCATGCCAGCATTAGAGTAACTTTCATAAATAAACATTACTTCTTATGCTTTAATGCATATATGCCATATACAAACCTAGTTTCAAATAGAACATTTTTATTCTCTCTTTATAGACACATTAACACTGTCAAAACATGAATGCTGACATTTTTTAATTTTATGCATATGTATTAAAGACTTTTGGCCCTGATGACCTAATGTCGGATATTAAGTTTCCCATTTAGTAATAGAATAGTTTGAAGAGAAAATAAGTTATTTTACTATGAAATGTACTTTTTCTTGCAATTTTGAAATTGTTTTCTCACACCTAAAAAACTGTAATTGCAAAGTTAATTAGTATTGCTAGAACTCAGAATCAGAAAGAACTTTATTGACAAGTCTTTTTATGAAACTTTTAGTATACACATGAATACAACAAGATATAATAATAAGGTAAAAGAATATAAATATGACAAAGATGTATGAATAGAAAAAGAGCAATAAACTCATAAAGAATATTCACAGATTATGTACTTACTGTACTAACAGCATGTTACAATAAAACAGAAATAAACTCACAATTAGGTATAATAAATGTAAAATTTAGGAAAATAAGTCAGAACTCTAATTGGGAATCTAAAATGGCAAAAGGTGCCATATCACAGGCGAAGTTCCATGTACACATTACCAAATTTTTACCATAAAACATTTAATAAATCAATTTTTAGATGCATCTCCCTCCCCGCTGGACTCTTAAATGACCTAATGACCACCATAATAAAAGAATTTCTATTTCAGTTTGTCTTGCATATAGGAACTCTAAAACGACGTCCTATAAGCAGCTGAAACAAAAAATACAATAGGTGATCTGGGATGCATAAGATACCCTGAGCTTAAGACATAATTACAGAAAATTACTATTGGACCAGTTCAGTTAAAACCGATGATCTTGCCTGCCACCTTCACAAGGCTACTCATCCTGTTCTTATCTGACAGACTCAATTATTTAGACTCTTATTCATCTAACAAACCACAATCCAGAAAGTTAAAACAGATTCAATAAATAGTTAATAAAACAGTGTCATCATGGAAATTCTCAGAAGAACTCATAAGAACTTAAAAGATTTTGTGTGATAAACTTTGAATTATAAGAAAAAAGCTCAGAATATGAGATACCAACTGAGAACTATAGGAGACAGAATTTAAGATAAAAAATGGAATTATCGTTTTATGTTAATCAGTAGCAGAATAAGCATATAGTTACTTTATTCTGTTATAAAGAGAAACAATGAACTCATATGTAATGTACGTCTGTATGCTTTGCTGTACAATCAAAGTGAGATTTGATTCTTTATCTCTATACTTACGTCATAGACTTCAGAGAGGAAGCAGTGAGGATGAAGATGATGATGACGAAGTGCCTGCTGAGCGTGTGAGTCCTGGCTCGTGCTGGCCAGATGGCTGGGGTTAAAGTCGCGGTGCAGGAGGATCCAGATCTGGGCTCGGGTCCAGACGAGGATGCCTCTGAGCTGTCAGTTTCGGAGAATGATTCAGACTCAGGGAGTGTGCTCTCTGATGACTCCGTGCTCCCGAACTATGAGCGGGAAGATGCCAGTGGAGGCCCTGCCAACACCTTGTACCAAGCCTGTGCCAAGAACAATGCTGCGGCCCTGCGTAGAGTTCTGGAGAGGGGCGTTACAGTTGACGAAGTCATGGAATTGGACATAAACGGAAGGGTAGGGAGTCAGTTCTCATCATATGTGTACACTGTAAAACCTGATAAGTTCAAGGGGTGTAACACAGAAAGACACAAAGATTTTTACTGTTCAATTTACACATTGTTATTCTTTAGGCGAACAATTAATCTGTGCAAGTGAAACCACTTAAAAACATTTTTGGTTTTGTCAATCTTCAATCAAAGTCTGATCATTGGCTTCTGGCATGTCATGATTTTGCAAAGTATGATGCAAAGTATTTGCAAAGTATGATGTTTAACCTTTTTTTAGGGCAACTTAAACTTGAAGCTAAAGCATTGCTTATAAGAATCGCTCTATCCAACACTGGTATTACATTTATTGATGACTGAAAATTAAGAACAAACATGTTTAATGGTAAAAAGACTATTGGAGTACCCTGAAGATGTATTATATTTCAATAACAAAACACTTATAAGTAATTACAGACTGCTTTACAACATGATATTATAGTTAGTACAGGAACCTCGACAGCAGACCAATGAAACCCATGGTAGTTATAGTAGTTTATCCATTTTGTTTAGGCTAACTCATTAGCAGCTTGTACAGCGTTGATTGTTTGATACCAGACCTGAGAGTAAAAAAACTTGATGACTATTTACAATTTCCTAACTAGAGAGAATATACAATTTTGTTAATTGTTTTTTTTTTATAAGAACGCCAAATCAAGTTAAGATTTTCTTCTGTAATCCTAATTTAGCATTTAACATGTCATATTTTATTAAGACCTAAGATGAGAAGCTTTCTGTAGTACGCCCAGAGATTATTCAAATATTTAAAGTAATACATTTCCAACACTTTGTTTTGTTTTTTTTTGCTTAAACCACATTAACTCTAACCGTTATGCCAGTTAGCAATGGCATGTGTTAATGCAACAAACCAGAGACTATTCTGTACACTTGCAAGCCTATATTTGCAAATCATGCAGTATATACAGTCTTAATAGTTTTTTTCGTCAGCCCACGCTCGACCAAACTTCATCAGGCATACTTTATCCCAATGGTAACCCTACAAATTTTAACATGACAAAAACATATGTACAGTGCTCAGCATATATGAGTACACCCCCCACAAATCTCTCATTTAAATTCAGATTTTCTATAGGAAGCTTTACAATATTAAATTTGTGCATATATATTTGTTTAGTCAAGAGGATCTCAAACTTTTCAGCCCGCATCCCCTAAAATAACAACACCAGTGACTCGCAACCCACTCTATGCTCAGAGGTGGTTATAAGCATACAAATATTGCACACACACACATAAGAACTATATAAACAAGCTTTCTGATGACACAAAACAGTGCAAAAGTCTATTTTTATAGTCATTATTCATTTGTTTAATTTAATATTAATCTCACTTAATGAGAATGGTGAGCACAACGTTTACAGCACAAGACTATTCTGGGTTTGATTTTGGAGACTTGGAGCCACTTGGAGATCATCCTCCTTGTTCAGTCATGGACTCTGTTTTTAATGTACAGTATTTGAGTGCTATAAAGGTGTCAAGTTAAACATTGTACCGTAAAATCAATCTGCTGCAACTAACGTTATTGCTGTGATGTTAATCTAGCAAAATAACCCCAGGGGTCGCAACCCAATGAAAAAAAAAAGTTTTTATATTATAAATATATTAAATATATGATAAGTTAAAAACTAATTTTATATTCCACAGGTTATGGCTAAAATAAGATAGTTCTAATAGTTTAAAAATATATGAGATATGAGATTAATAAATGGATAAAAATATTAATTTTCAAAATAGGGTGTACTCAGTTATGCTGAACACTGTAAATCCAAACATGGCACAACATTAAAACCTAATTCATGCAACAGTCTGTTCTTCCTGTGAAAAAACACACCGCATAACACTTATTTTCAACATTTATACAATACAATCAAAATCTGAGTTCATATAACCTATTTCGATCAAAAACTTTTATTAATACTTGTGTGAAATCAACTTGGTTTTACAGTGTACCAGAAATTTTGCAAAAAAAAATTGTTGACTTCATTTTACCTGCTGACAAACTCTTATTCCCCAATAGAATGGTCTGATGCTGGCAGTCTCAAAAGGCTTTGTGGATATTGTGTATGGACTCAATCAGTGCCCATTTCTGGATATCAATCATCAGGATAATGATGGCAACACTGCACTTATGATCGCCGCACAAGCTGGTAGGTTCTTTATGAACACATAAAGCAGAAAACACGAAAGATTCTTAATACTTAATTCTAAGTTTAAATGTTGCAGGTTTCGTAACCATCCTCACTTACATCATCAATTTCTTCCCTGGACTTGACATGGAGCTCCGGGATAACAGAGGCTTCACGGCTCTCCTCAAGGCAGTCATGCAGGGCAGCAATGACTGTGTGGCGTCACTGCTCATGGCTGGTATGTTATTTTAGGACTCTTATAATTAGTTTATAGACTGGACAGGTCAAATAGGTGAGTTCCTACCGGCAGGGGCAAACAGAATGACGTGAATTGGGGAATAATGTTGAAAACCAATGGTATGCTGCTCCATTTTCCTTGCACATGTAGAGCAAAATCTGTAAAAACAAGTAAAGAGAATAAACAGAACACTTAGTGAACACTTTTGAACATTAATCAAGGTATTGCAGACAGTTTTATACTTGTACATGTTATTATTTAAATGTAAATGTACAGTACACTCTCAGAAAAAAGATACGAGAATGGTTTGTGGGGAATGGTGGCATCTCTAAGGTATGTTTTGTGTATATTTGGATTAAGATACCATTATGGATCCTTTAGGTACCAACTGAAAAGGTAGTACCCCAGTGACAACTCCCTAGACTTTAGTTCTGAGAGTGTATAAACCGTGGTATTTTTTAAGAGAATGACACGTGTCAAACTATTGGTTGTAGTTACTATGGATTGTAAGTTACAAAAGTCTGAAACACTGCTAAAAATGCTAATGTTTTATTTGAATATATATAAAAATATGGTGACACTTTATTTTAAGGTACAATAGTTAGGGTAGTAATTGGGTTTAGGTATTGGGTAGGATTAGGGATGTAGAATAAAATCATACTTTAGGAGTACTATAAACGGAAAATATCTTATTAATGGGTAGATAAAATGCCAGTAGTTAATAGTGAGAATTAGTCCTTAAATTAAAGTATTACCAAAATTAAGAATTAGGGCAGCACAATATATCATTTCGGCATCAATTTTACAATTTGTGCATCCGTAATAGCCACATTGCAAGATCTGCTATGTTGAGTTAGGTTTATAGATGACCAGAAACCACAGGTCAAAACACATGAGATTTGTGGAAACACTGCAGAATTAAACCATAATAGAGTTAAAGTTTATCATCATCTGCATGTGATTTTAGGGAACGTGACTCTGTGAGCATTTAAAGAGAGTTTAAAGCATTTTAGTAATGCATAAAGAAGTTTAATAAAGATTATTTATATGGTGAAGACAATACAATTTACATTTGGTTACTCAATTTATTTACCTAAACACTGCTGTTCTCTCCAGAAAACCAAAAAGCATGTTTTATTTCACTAAAATATTTGCTCCAATGTGTTTATTTATGACTGTAGAATTATTAGCGCCCCTGTTTATTTTTTCTCCAATTTCTGTTTAATGGAGAGACGATTTTTTTCAACACATTTTCAAACATAATAGATTTAAAAACCCATTTTGAATAACGAATTATCTTTGCCATAATGACAGTAAATAATATTTGACTGGATATTTGTCAAGACACTTCTATACAGCTTACAGTGACATTCAAAGGCTTAACTACAGGTTAGTTAGGTTAACTCGGCAGGTTAGGGTAATTAGGCAAGTTATCGTATAACAATGGTTTGTTTTGTAGATCAAAATATATTCATTCATTCATTAATTTTTTGTCGGCTTAGTCCCTTTATTAATCTGGGGTAACCACAGCAGTATGAACCGCCAAGTTATCCAGCAAGTTTTTACGCAGCGGATGCCCTTCCAGCCGCAACCCATCTCTGGGAAACATCCACACATACACACACACACACTCACACACTATGGACAATTTAGCCTACCCAATTCACCTGTACCGCATGTCTTTGGACTCTCCCACGCGAACGCAGGGAGAACATGCAAACTCCACACAGAAACGCCAACCTTCTTGCTGTGAGGCGAACGTGCTACCCACTGCGCCACTGCGTCACCATCAAAAAATATATATAAAGGGCTAATAGTTTTTAAATGGTTTTAAAAAAAGATAATATTGCTTTTATTCTAGCCGAAATTAAAAAAAGATTTCTTTAGAAAAATAAAATACTGTCAGACATACTGTGAAAATGTCCTTACTCTGTTAAACATCACTTGGGAAAATTTTAAAATAAGAAAAAATTCAAAAGGGGCCTAATAATTCTGACTTCAACTGTAAGTATGTATATATATAAATATATATATATATATATATATATATATATATATATATATATATATATATATATATATATATATATATATATATATATATATATATTTCACTTACCTACAAAATCATCCGAAGTAATGACTTCACAAATAGAGATATTTAAATTATCTGGTGAAACAATATCGCTAGATATTGTGCAGAAAAAAAAAATATCGCAATGTAACATTTTTTCAATGTCATGCAGCCATATTATAAATGCTAGAAAAATGTAGAATTGAAATTAGCTTGGTCTTTGGTATTTAATATCATTTTATTTTTTAAAAATCGGAATTTCTTTATATTGTATATTTTAAGCATCACCATTTTAATGTGGACTTATTTTTTACTTAGATTTATTTTAAAAATAAACATGCAAACATTACTGTACATATATTTTCTAAGGTCATTTTTTAGTATTGCATCTTATCATAGATTTTTTTTTAAATGTGATTTATTCAGACTGGAAAAGGTCAAGTATAGTGATAAAATATTATTATTCTATAGTTTTTTTTATTTATTTTTATTTTTTTGTGTGTGTGCCCGTTTTATTTTCTGAATTTACTTTACATTGTGAATTAAATCATAAACTATGAATTAAAAATATCACAGTCAAAAGAAAGATCACCAGAAAGCTTGAGAGGTCAAAATGTCAGATGCACATGCACAAATGTAGTTAAATACGTGCTTGAGACAGTGATTTGTAAAAAGTATTTTAGGTAAAGCAGATAACAAGTTGACTTTTGAGGCCCAGTGATGTGATGTGTGACCTAAGCACAGGCTGGTTTAAAAGTCAACCCTGAGGGCATTTCTTTTCTGATCCCCTGCCTGGATAATCTATTAGCTCTTACAGTGAGTAATGGATTAGCCATGTGTCCATATAGCTTATTATTCTGACGTGTGACAATTCAGCACATTTACTCCATCTGTAAAAAAAGGTACAGTAATTAAGTGTAAAAATTACAATAATTATTTCATTCATCTAAATACAATCATGTTAATAATGAAAATGTATATTGCTTGCTATAACATCATGATGTTTAATTTATTTCATTTGTTTTATAAATGAATTGTTCATAATAAGGTTAATAACGGTTATTTAGTACATTAGGCAAGCAAATGTAACTATTACTAATATTAACAATTACTAAATCCAGTATTATTATTAATATTTAATACATTAAAAGTGATTGCTTTATATGCACACACTCACTGGTAATGTAAGCCCTGTTGGATAAGCAAATTCATATTCTTCTGCTTTGGCTGGGTCAGTTGGCATTTCTTTGTGGATGTTGCATGTTCTCTAGATTGTCCGTAGTGTATGAATGTGAATGGTTGTGTGGATGTTTCCCAGAGCCGGGTTGAGGCTGGAAGAGCATCCGCTGCGTAAAAGCATGCTGGATAAGTTAGCGGTTCATTAAGCTGTGGCAACCCCAGATTAATAAAGGGACTAAGCCAAAAAGAAAATGAATGAATGAATAATAATACATTTTTATAAAATTAAATAAATGAATAATAACATTCATTCATTTATTTTCTTTAATCGGTTGCCACAGTGGAATGAACTGCCAACTTATACAGCATATGTTTTACACAGCAGATGCCCTTCCAGCTGCAACCTAACACTGGGGAATTAATAATACCAATAAAATAATTAAATAATACATTTATATATAATATTTTTACAGTTGATGTAAATTTTATAAAGAACTTGCATGAATAAAACAAAAATGTCCTTTTTTTTTACTGTTTCAAATTAATTCAAATCATTAAACTAGATATGCTATACACAAAGTGGGCACTTGGTGGAGTAAAAACAACTCCTTACAGTTTTTCTAGTCAACATCCAATACTTTCAGACATAATGCATTTCATATTCAAAAAGTTACTGTAATTACAGATTAAACTCAACCTGCACTCATACTGGGAAAAAGACTCCTTAAAAAGAACATAACTAGAATGAAGGTCTAAACCTTCTAAAATGAATATAATTTTGTAAACAAAACCTGAACATGTAGTTTAGTTTTTTCTGTAATCATTATACCACCAAACAAAAAAACTTAATTATTAAAAGAAATAGTGTTAGAAAAAGTGTTATTTAAACTAAAATTTGGATCAAATGTGGCCAAACTCTATGACTAAACATTTTATTTTCAATAATGCCTGAGCTTTACCCAACACCTGAGTATGTGCAGATTTGATTGTCCCATATTTTTTATTGCAGTTTCCAAATTTACATACAGACGTGTGGTATATAGGGTTTTCCAGCAGGTATATAAAACAGCCAAACACAGGAATCCAAAGATTGTAGAAATGGGAAAAATAATTATACAAATAAAAAACTACACAAAAATTCCATAAATAAATGACATTAAAATTAAAGAAAATTTCATTAAGGATTCAAAGATATCATAAAAACAATTAAAACAATAAACTCATAATTGTTTTGTAAAATGAAATCAGACTTATTTGTTGCTTTTCAATTGCAATTATGTACTTTTTTAACTGGTATTAAACAGCAATTTTAAGTACAAGTAAATGTACAAAAGAAAATGGATTTATTCAAATTTTATTTAATTTTATTTGTTTACGGTTTTAAAAAGTTATGCTTTAAATATCCGGCTACAGAATGGATTTTAGTGTCTCTATATAATGATGAATAAGATAATGATGGAAATGGTTGTATCATCATTACATTTTGCATTTCTATTTTTCTAGGGGCCAATCTTCATGTTGTGGATGCCACAAGAGGCAAGGACATCCGAGAGTGGGCTCTGAAGACAGGTCGCTTTGAGACATTACACAGGCTCAGACGGCTGAACAGCAGGCCTCAGGCTGAACAATTCTGTGAAAAATACATCCTGGAGTGGCCAGACCTGAAGGAGCTGGTGGCCAAAGCCACAGCCACAAAAAGCACAGGACAAAAAGTCGCCCATCGCCTCAAGTCAACGTTCACTTTCAACTTTCCACATGACCCCCAGGACAATGGTATCATGGACCATATGGTGCGTATGACCACAAGCATCCATAGTCCCCTGGTGGTCACAGGATGCCGTCCGCTGTGTCCCTCAAGCCCACCAGAGGTGGGCAAGAGACGCCTAGCGGTGCCTGAACTGATGGAAATGCATTCAGGGAAAAAGCTTGAGGAGCACACAATACGACACAGCAATGGCTCCATCTCTGTGGCGTCTACATCTGGCTCTTCTGTCTCGCTGGCCTCATGCTGTTCTGAATCAGAACGGAGAGGCAGTGTGCTTTCCATGGCCTCCAACGGCGTTCGCAGGTTCGTCCCGCGCAGCATGGCCCGCCGCAACAGTGTGTTTCCGGCTGGCTGTGTTCCTCAAATCAAAGTGACTAAGTCTGGAGAGCCAACACCCAAGAAGGAGAAGAAGAGCAAGCGAAACAAAGGTTACTTAGAGCCACCGATCTGGAAGTACAAGGAGGCCAAAGAGGAGAAAAAAAAAGAGAAGAAAAAAGAAGAACAGGAGAAGCTGGAAAAAGGAGCCAAGAAAAAAAGTAAAAAGTGATTCAACTGCCAACAGAATGCACTCCGATTTATCTAAAGACATTTGATTTATATTTGTAACCTCAATATGATTAATACCTCTCCGGGAACCAGTAGGCCTGTATTTACAGACATTTTTAACATGTTAACATTTTATTTGAGATGATTTTTAAAATCTCTTTAAAAATGTTTGTTCACCCAAAAAAAAAAATGTTGTTAATTATTAATTATCAATGTATCATTCCAAACATTAACACAAATTAAGATATTTTACATGAAATCTGAGAGCTCTCTCTCGCTCCATAGACAGCAGGGTTTCCAATTCACTTAAAAACATCCTCAAAACAGACCATATGACTTCACTGGTTCAATGGGAATATTATCAAAGCTATGATAATACTTTTGTGCATACATAAAACAAAAATAACAGCCTTAATCAACAGACTCCTCTTTTCGGTCTCAGTTTATTGCACGCGATCATGAGCACAGTGCACTGGTGTAACACCTGCTCCCCGAATGCCTATATACAACTTCTTGTTTGAAACAACTGGTTTGTTTTGAGGATGCTTTTGAAGACTTTCTGGACTTTGAATGAGTCGGGACCATTGCTGTCTATGGAGGACTCTCAAGTTTTACCTACAATATCTTAATTTGGGTTTCAGGAGAACAACATGAGGGTGAATGACTAATACCAATGGTAACTTTAAGCTTGATGAGTATGCTATGCCATCATTATTTATTTGAATGGGTTTTTTTTTACACTACCATTCAGTATGTGGTCAGTAATTTATTAAAAAAACATAATTGTGAATTATTCAAATTACAAATTACATTCATTATTATTTAATTAGCTAATAAATTTAATTAATTCCAGTAATGACAATGCTTATTTTGTCAGCCCTGGTGTTTAATGGCATATCAGAAATGACTTATATGCTGATTTACTTGTTATCAATGATGAAAATGGTTGTACAGCTTAATATATGTTTGTAAAAACAGTATTAAGTTCGAAAAAAATTTAATCTGTTATCAATACCATGATCTTTGTTCAATTTGATGCATGCTTGCTTAATAAAACTTTTTAAAAATCTCACTGGCCCTAGATATTTGAATGGTAGTGTAAAGCGTTTCTATACTGTTATTTTATTCCTCTGTATTGCACTCTAATACTATACAAATGACTTCGAAAATCACAGCATAGAAACTGAACCATGTTCATTATGACAGCACTTTATTAAAATCTATGTCATTAAGACAAAAGGACGCTTACAATGTTGTTCTTTCCTCTTTGTCTTCATGCAGTGGTTTAAATTGAATGTTTATGAATTTGTTCTTGAATTTCTAAATTTCGTATCTCAGGGAAAGCACTTATTGCACACTAAACTATCCCCAGGGAAAGCTCAATATGCAACAATCTGCATTTATTATTATTAATTTTGTGCGTGTTCAGACTGCAAGTTGAAAATTGTACTAAAAATTGCACCAGCCAATATATGTTGTTTGTGTTTGTTATGACTCACTATAAAGTTGTTCATGTGTTTTAGTTGCATATAAATTAAAAACACACTTTATTTAAGAAAAATATGAGTCTTAATTCAATAAAGTTTAAACCGTCCTATTGGTGACATCTTATTCGCCACTGTTTTGATGGGATTGCTGGAGGTTTTAAACCTTTAAATCACTGCGCTTAAGGCAAGGCTATAATTGGAGTAGTGAGGTCACAAAGCAAAGCACTTGGAAATTAATCCACTCATTGTGCCATCCTTACGTAACAGAGCATTTGCCTTGACGTGAAGTAAGGTCAAGACATGTAAACCAAAATAACAAGCTGAGAGTAGAATTGTAATATGTATAAATAAACTTATAAAGCTGATTTTCCTTCTTAAATTTGCAGCATATATGCAAAATCACTGTAGTGTGAAATAGTAACAGACTTATTTTTGGGATATGTGGCATGTTTCATTTAACCTGAAGGAAAGAAAAGCTTGTTTTTATGTCGTTATAGTCTTTTATTAAAAAAGGTCCCTTTTTTGAACAATATTTCTTCTTTAGTGATAATAAGTTTGCTAGCTAAAGGGTGGGCAACACTGTCAATCATATAAGACTGACCAGAAGCAAATGACAACATTTTAATCACTTCCAAAAATTAGACAAAATTATGTCTTGACCTCTTCCAAATTGTTTTACATGGTTCCACGCTACAGTTAGAAAAAAACAAACACATATCCTATGACAACTTTTAGATTTGTAAAACAATGCATCATCTATTTCAGATTTGTTGGCTTTATATTACATTTTGTAGTTACTGCAATATTTTTGCTAAAATTATTTTTTTAATAAGTGTCATAAAAGTGGACTTTTCCATTGCTTTAAATAATTTATACTAATATTTGAGGACACTAATACATCTCATTTTATTTAAAACACTTTTTTCAAAATACAGTGTTTTAAAATGTTAACTGTTTTTTGTCAGTAGTTGTATTTTTTTAACAGACATTTACTAAAATATATACATTTATATAACAGTTCTGCAAGGTTCAATTGAATCTGTTTGGCTGTTGAATCTGTTGAATCTGTTTAGCAGTGTAATATTCTGCAAACAACTGCACTCGTCCAGCCTCTTAAGCCCTCACCCTGTGTATTACTCCACCCACATAGTGGAAAACATTCTACAGTTTGACAAATATTGCTGCTGCTGGACAACATATTGTACTTTTGAGGCTTTTTTAGTCGAGCATGTAGTTATTTAGATTGCAATGATGCAGATTATTCATAAGGATAATGCCTATTTTAATTTAAATATTTATAATTTCTGGAACAGTGCGTTGGCAGCCATCTTAAAGACAGTTGACATTGTTCATCTACAAGATGATAAAAGAGACAGCATAATAAGCTCTTAGAAGATTAAAAACAGCGTAATTTATTTAATTTTAATTATTAAATTTATTTATTTAATTATTAAATTGGTAAATGACATTCTAAGTCGTTCTCTCTCTTTTGTAAGTTGCTGTATTTATACCATTTATACCATGCATTTATACAAAAGTTATACACACTTTGTACAACTCTGAGGGCTCTATCTTGACGATCCATGCGCAAAGTGCAAAGGGCAGGGCGCAAACGCATTTAGGGCGTGTCAGAATCCACTTTTGCTAATATAAGAACGGGTCTAAAAGGGTTGAGCTTATTTTCTTAATGAGTTATAGGTGTGTTTTAAGAAAAAACCAATCAGAGTCTCATCTCCCATTCCCTTTAAGAGCCAGTTGCGTCGCGCCACAGCGCATTTGCTATGTACATGACGACTTTGCAAAGTGGAAAAACTGAGCATTTCACTAGCAAAAAAACTGTTAAACAGAGCATCTACAGCGGGAGAATGAGAGATAAGGCCTCTCATTATCTACTTTTACTTTCGCTACTTTTACTTTTCTTTGTCTACAAATACATTAAATTCCTTAATAATTTTGCACATTATCATTTTTGCATATAAAAGCTTAAACCTTTAATATAAAATCAACTGTTTATTTAAATGTTTAAAAGCAGGATTTGTTGTCATATGATTCGAAAAGGCTCAACAAAAGAGGTTTCCATCATGTGTTGCTGTTAATAGAAGTTTGAGAAAAGACAGACCTCAAATTTTCACATATCATAGAAGAAAAATAAAAAACAGTTCTCCATCTCCGATCTGAGGAGTGCCAGCTGCATTTGTAAACACCAGCCGAGAAAGCAGACTAAAAAACCTCCAAAGGGAAAAACTGGAACATTTTCTCATGTCTAATGAGTAATACAACAGATCCAGCCTATGTTAATATTTATTTTGGAAGTTTCTTTGTGATTATGTTGCAATGAACGAAAGATGGGATTTCTGTTTCCATCATATCTGTACGAGCTGTCATCCCAGCTAACTGAGATTGCTCTTTGCTTTCTATTGGAGCATAAGGGAGGTTTTAAGATTTAGAGGGAGATGTCACTGTAACCTCAGGTCGCCCTGCCTTCAGCCCTGTCCCATAAACCAGCTGTTTCCAATCAAATAAATCAACCTCTTTGTTTCGTGAATTTATTATTTGCATCTTTAAGCTCTAAATAAAGACATTCATATTCAGTTTTGTGATTTGTTTCTGTTATTTGTTATGTTGAATTTGGTCATGTTGACTGTAATTTTGTCATATTATGGTAGACGGCCTATATCTGAATTTTCCTGTTGGGCATTTGGGTATTCTTTCACAAGGTAAAATCCAAAAAGTTAAGGTAACTAACTTGAGGAAACTAATAGCAATAAACCATTTAGGTTCAAAAAATAATCCTAATGAGTATTGTGAACTTGAGTAAACAAAGCAATTTGAGTAAAATGCAATAAATGAACTTAAACTAGGAAACCGATTGCAACAAATCATTTGAGTTAAAAAAAATTATCTATATGAGTACTGTGAACTTATTCTATTTTTAGTTAAGGTATAATGAGGTATTTAATAAACTCATTACCTTCAACACTGAGTTCAAAACTCTTTTCAAATGAATTATCTTTCAGTATATTGAGTTACTACACTCATTTTATTTGATAAAGCTGACGGCTGGGTTTTACAGTGTAAGACATTTTTAGTTTATTCAGCCAGAATGAATAGAAATAATAAAATAACTAATAGAATTAATAAAATCTATGGTTATATTAAAAAACATTAATAATGTCATAAAAGATTTCTATTATAATAGGCATTTGTTAATAACAAAAAAAATACTTTTAACTGACATCATCACGAAGGTTAGTATATTAAAAAAGAATAAAAGTTAATAAAAGTTCAGCTTTTCATTCACAAAACTATGTTTTAAATCAAGTAAGACTTCTACATTTTCTTATATTAAATTATAATCATATTTCTTGTTAGGTGTTTTTTTCCCCAGCAAATAAGCCCTGATAGCATCGGGGGCTTTTTTAATATTTGAAATGTGTAAAGTTTTAAAAGCATTAAGAGTAAATTTGAGTTAGCCTGTTGCTAAATATTACTAATGTAGCATAACAAATGCCTAGAGCAGGCAATTCCAAAATATACAGAAAAGAGCCAAAAGTTCCCTCACCTCATGCAGATTCAAACAAAACTTTTGGTTATTGATGCAGATCTTTAAGATAAGACCTACACCACCAAAAAAAAAAAAAAAAAAAAAAAACTATGGCCATATTATTGGCCAACTGGCAAACTCAGGGA